TTCTGCCCGCATTGTACGCCGATTTCTCTCCCTGGGGCCCTGAACCCCGGCCGACTGAGCTTCTGCCGGGGGTGTGTTGCCATCTCCTCTCCTTAAGAGGGGAGATGAGAATTTTTGGAAAAAAAAAAAAATAATAATCTCAGGACAATTCACACAGCGCCATCTAGACCCAAGTTAAGCTACCTAAAGCTTGTGTAATGAGTACTAGATTACTGATACAAATACATAGATAATTTTTTTTCGTAAATACATACATATTATACATAGAAAATACCCAGACCGATACAAACAATCATACTCATGACTACAAATGTTTGTGCCGTGCGAGGAATCGAACCCGCGACCATCGGACGTAAAGCGGTGTGCTAGACCGCTAGACCACCGAGGTCGTCAAAATATTAGATATTATAAACTAATGTTACAATACTACCTGATCTCGTGATTTCTTGCATCAACTTTTGTTCGTAGTTCTTATTAATATTATAAACGCGGAATTTTGAGCATGTTAATGATTGTATGGATTAGATAATTTGCTGGAAAGATATTTGTTATTAACAAAAACTACTTAAATAATAGATTTTACTAGACAACTGATACAAATACATATATATATATATATATTCTTAAATACATACATATTATACATAGAAAATATCCAGACCGATACAAACAATCATACTCATGAATAGAACTGGTTGTGCCATGCGAGTAATCGAACCCTCGACCATCGGACGTAAAGCGGTGTGCCAGACCACCGAGGCCGTCAAACTTTACAATTATATACCTTATATAACAAATTAACATGTACGCTATAATTTCCACGTTGGTGAAACCGAGGGCACATCTAGATAAATATAAGTTGTTTACTAATATATGTAATATGGATATATATCCAAAATAAATGAAATAATAATAATAATAATAAAATATAGTATTAATAGATAGAAGAGTATCTTAATACTCGATGGATTATTTCAACTGAAAAATTCGAACTGAACAACATAGTTAAAAATGGTAATAAAAATTCACGTGAACAAATTGCCAGAATGTTCTACGTGAGTAAATTTCGAGTTTGTCATTAAGTATGAACAACAAGGTATGTCCGGAAATTACACTACATTAACAATTTCAGTAGGAAATAAATATGTCAAAGGAATTCCGAAGTTTTTCCAGAGCAAGGTTGCTACGTTTTGTATGGAGAGAAAACTAAGACGTAAAGCTGAATCTCGCAGAAAGTTTTTTTATACTAATATTACAAACAGGAAAATATTGTTACATTTGTTTGTAATAGATAAATTTAAATTAACTATACGGATTTTATTTATGCAGAGGACAATTAAGGAAACACCATTTTATTCGCAGTCGTCTTTTTATTAATATGTTTTTATATACAAATTCTATGGCAAAATAACAAAGGAGTTTTATGTCCAACATTAACTTGACTTTTGTTAATTTTTTGACATATATATATATAGCAACATTTTCAACAAAGAAAATAACGTAGACAGAATTGCTTGATGAAATTGTTCTGAAATAAAATGCTAAATTTCTGATATTTCTTAGATTTGTCTTGAATAGTATTGAATGTTTTATTTTATTTACTTTTTATAATGGTTTTCTTAAATAAAAACGACATGTATTTTTCTAAAAAAACAAAACCTAATAAAATACACATTCGATTTTCTTTTAATAATTAAAAATTATGAAACCTATAGAAATCTACCTTACCAATAAGAAATTGATGATGATGATAATAATGTTATATATTAAATAAGATTATACATATTTACAATAACTGCACCAGTCGAAAGCTGCATACATGCGAATTATGTTAAAAAAATATATGTAGAGAAAAGTTAGAACACATCACATTAAAGAATATATGAAATTTCTTAGTTTTCTTTCGTATTGATCAAGCTGTTGCCTGTTTACTTATTCTGATCACGTGTCCGGCTGATGACACCACACCCATCTTAAAGGCTCCCCGCACTAAAGCGAGACAATGCTACGCAGCCCTGCATTCTCGTACAACTTTAATTTCATTTCAAAGACTCTGACACTATTTGAATACAGACGGAATTAAATTCCCCGCACGTCGCACTTAATACACTGTTATTAAGGTCTAAAATAGATGATGGTTTTATCCAGTGGTTATAGGTTAAAGGTGGGATACCGTACCTATAGTAATGGTCTTATTACAAAAATCGTATTGAAACCAATCTTAAAGTCAAGAAATGGAATGATCCTATTATTATTACAAGATTCAATCTAATCAGCATCAACTTATCAGCACAGTCAAATTGAAGATCATAATTAAGTAATACTTCCCACAGATAATATACAGAATATTATCTATAGAATTAGGTGTTACTTTGCGGAAGTTCATTTTATTACTTAGTGGGTTTATATTATTTTAAATTATTGCTGGTTGGTAGTTTGTATTCACATGTGTCGACTTCTAAATTTGAACTCACAAGGATTGTTTAAAAGAGCAACATACAAGTTTCCTATTTATTCTACTTGTGATGAGACAGAATTCCGAATAAGGGACAGATTAAAAAAAAATTGTTGTCTGTTCAAAAGTGTTTAAATTAAGTTTATTCGAATACAATTTTCTATTTTATTCTTTATTAAAGTCCGCTACCAATAGCATGTGACACAAATATTGAGTCTGAAAACCTGACCCCTGCTACTGGAAGCGCCGAAAATTGTTGTATTTTCTTTATTATGACTTGTTTCTAAGAAGTAAATAACTTAAAACGTGATAGAAAAGTTATTTACTACAACATGTAAATAAGAAGGTACAATTCAGTTTTGAATATAACATAGTTACTTATTCAATGGTTTTGATACACAAAAGAAATACTAACAATGTGAAATGTTTTAGTATATATTACCAACATAAATGTATGATTCATGTATATAATATTCAATTTCATAGACGGTGAGTTCTAAAGACACTGACACACTATAAATAGACTCGAAACTTAGACACAGAACTTAGCTTCATACAGCAAGAGCGGACGCAGTAGCAAAGGGATTGGAGACAAACTTACGTCTTGTGCCTTTATACGCCTACTAAACTAGTGCTTTCTAGGAATCTTATATGAACATCTTATACAAACTCCTACTCGTACATTATTTTGATACTCTGGTCAAAAGGATATAGAGTTTACAAAGCAAATATAAATAACAAATATTATGAATATTCCATTTGTTTGATTTTATAGCACATTAAGAGCTGAGTCAATAGGATTTGCCTTTTTACATTCTTTTTATTAATAGCACTGTATTTATATACTTATTTCCTTTTTTAAATTTCATGAAATATGTTTTGGTTATATTTAATTTAGGTATAGTTTACAACAAAGTGAATAGCTGGCAATGAATAAAAAAAATATATATTTCTACATGTTTTAATTTTATTTTATCACAAAATAATGTATACTTTGCGCCTTTTTCTAATTTTAAACAGATAGCTCAAGGTTCATACGGAAAAAGAGAGCAGAAAGAAAAATATGTGTTATATATTTTTAAATAATGAAATAGAGAAATTTATCATCCTATTTGCTTCACCCGTAAACTATAGCACAAACAGATGAACAAAAAGTTGTCTCCTCACCAGGATTTTATTATCTATCTTCTATCTATATCTTCTTCTATACTTATAATAAATCTGTAGAGAGGTCAATTCTGTACATGAAATATATTTCCAAAAATAACTATCAGGGGGTGATTAGGGATCGATACTGATGTCAAAAATGAAATCAGTAATTTTTTTGTCTATCTGTCTGTATATTCGTTATAGAAACAAAAACTATTGGACGGATTTTAACGAAACTTGGTACAATTATTCGTCATACTCTTGGGCAGGTTACTATAACCCGTGGTATACTTCATCACGCTACGATCAATAGGAGCAGAGCAGTAAAGGGAAATGTTAGGAAAAAACATCAAAACCACTGAACCGTGAGGAAGGATACTAGAGGCTACTTATTTTACGAAAAAACGACGGAAATGCAGACGAAGTCGCAGTCGACAACTAGTGTATAAATAAAATGTAGATCTGTCTGTAAACGATTAGAGATACTTTAATTTATTATATATATAGGCTATATTATTCGAATATAGCCACTTATTTCATGAAATTTAAAGCACCACTAGTCGAAAACTCATTAGCGATAAATGTTTAACGTGAAAATTTAACGTGTCAAACACTTAGTTAAGGAGACATTAAAGTGAATATGTGATACATAAACCAAAAGTGTGTCACCTTAATCGTCCCACCGAGGCACTCGATGGTTCAGCTATCCAGTACCCTACTCCAATGGTTTCGGGTTCCATTCCCGTACAATAAAAATGTAATATCCATCAATTAATATGTTTTTTTTTGTTTGTGTGAGTGTTTATGTATGTATAAAAGGATAGTAAAGTCAGATACGACGGCCAGTAGGAATCTATAGGAGAAGAGGACAATGATGATTATGTATATATATATATATATATATATATATATTTTTAGTTATAGGTACAGTTGTTTATGTGTATCATCCTCGCTAATTGGTACGTATGGCGAGACACTTTTGGTTATAGAAGAATTTATTAATATTTTCACTCAAATATTAGTTAATAGGTTAGAACTTATTCACATTCAGTAATTCAGCGCTATACAGAATTATTCATTAAAACATTATTCAACTTTTTATATTCCAGCAGCTTATCTTGTAACCTGTGTCAAGATTAGCATCAAGTAAAAACCTCGAAAGATCCCGTGTCAAATTTAAAACAGTCTAAAATAATGAAATAGATTGATCAATACAGTCATCAGCTTGTTTGCAACATCGCTCTCGAAAAAATAATATTAATCCCAACCCAATATGCATTGTATTAAAGCACAATATTAAACCCACTGAACAAAATAATGCTGAGCTGGCATTCCGCTGCTCATACATTTCAATGAATATTTTTACATGTAACATAACTTCCCAATAGATACTCACTGAGTCGTGAAAGCTTGAATGCATCGGCCGTATTGATGACGTCGACATAGGCTTGCAGTTCCAATCGTCGGCTGCTTATATTCTGGTTGTGCATTGTCAATGCATATTTGAACACATTTTGAATTTCTTCAGTATTCTGGTCGAATATTGCTCCTGCAAACAATAATATAATTTACTATTACATCATCTGCTTCTTCCTTATCCCATTTATTTGGGGTCGGCGTAATATGTTTTTCGCTTCCATTCATCCCTGTTCGCAGTCATCGCGTTATTTACTTCCTTTCTTACCATATCATCTTTCACACAGTCCATCCATCTCTTTTTTGGCCTTCCTCTACCCTTATAACCATCCACATTCCTAATATAATTTACTATTACGTTATAATAATAGCTACGCTGTCAAACGGTGTTTTACTAGGTAAGTTAATATCGCTATTAAAAAATAAGGGTTGATTATAGAAGAGTGAAATTTTAGGGTTGTATGTATTTTTTAATTAAGAATCTTAAAAAAAAAATTAATAAAATATAAAAATCAGAGTGAGCCATACTTATCGACATAATCATCATATAAAATTTCCTGAAAATCGTTTGTGCTGTAACTAAGAATTATAAAATTTGAATTTTATATACGTGTATAGATTAAAATAAAAATCTAGCCTTATTTTTGAGATATATACAGATATATTACTCATGAAAGAGTCAAATTGTATAGATTATACATATGTGTAAATGGGATGGTTTATTTTGTAAATTTATTATACATAGGTGTAGAAGTATGAAACCGGAATTTTTTTATAAAATTGCTTGTTTGTATTTTGATAATTATAAAATTTATTTAATCAAAATAGGATCCATTAGAATTTATACATTTTTCCCACCTTATCGGCAGGTTACGAATACCACGCCAAAAATAAAACTCTTCATTTGAAGCAAACCAGTTGTCGATCCATTTTTGTACATTTTCATACGAATCGAAGTATTGCTCAGCAAGTGCATGTCCCAAAAAATATATATAAAATACATATATATATATATACTGTATAAAACAGTACATTACAGAAATTACATCGTTAAATCGTAGGTATGCATAATATGAGAATAGAATCTTTAAACTATTTTCGTGACGAACATGTATACTACATTTACAATCCAATTTACTAGATATATATAGAATCCAACTTATTAGAATTAAACCTATTTAATATCTAATATATAAAATTCTCGTGTCACAATGTTAGTTACCATAATCCTACCAAACGTCTTGATCGATTTTTATAAAATTTTGTATGCATATTCTGTAGATCTGAGAATCGTCTACTATCTATTTTTATACCCCTAAGTGATAAGGTTTGACCACCCCTAACATTTTTTTATTTTATGGGCCATTTTTTTAAGTTTTTATAATGTGGCATTAAAAATTCGCTATTTGTAATAGCGATATTAAATTGTATTGTAAAACAAAGTTTGTGTGGACAGCTAGTTAGTAGCTAGTCTAGTAATAAATATACTTATAAATCTAATTTTATACTGTCAGTTCAGTGAAGAATATCAAAATGATTCTCACCGCGCCATAACACGACATTAAAAACTGCCTACGCCACTATACTCGATAAAGAATTATTATTACCAATGAAAACCTTCCAAAACAAGTGGAGAATCACCTTATTGGATATCTTTATCGTACAGTGAAAAAGCGAGCCCGTATTCTGTGGGACGTCATCTCCTTGATATACGAGTGCTGACCGGACCGTTTATCTGAATCACAGAAACCACAGCTCGGTGGCTTCTAATACCATCCATAACCGCTTTCGTTTCGTGAGCTCAACTATGGCTGTTTTTTTTTTCACTCCCGCTGCTCGGACATTATATTCTGAGAGCCTCTGAAACTCCATTTTTAGCAATATTTCTTTCATTTGCAACGTCATTTCTTTCCATATTGCGCCGGATTGTTACTGGGTTTATGTTGTGAGTGAAATCTACTGAACCTTTCAGTGAGTATTGTTAGTTATTATTATATATATTTATATACATTATACTTTATTTAATAGGTAATAAATGCATACTTTTTTTAAGTCGTATATTATTGAAATTTTGGTAGATAGTTAATTAATTAATAAAGATTTTATTAATTCTTTTTATCTATACATACAAATAAAATTGGAGTGTCTGTTTTTAATATTGAAATAACCGTTTTTTAGTACATAAATATGAATATAAATACGGAAAATACACTAAAATAACATAATTTATAGTTTTTGTCTGTCTGCCTGTCTGTTTGTTCCGGCTAATCTCAGAAATGGCTGGACCGATTTTGACGAAACTTTTTTTGGCAGGTAGCTGATGTAATAAGGAGTAACTTAGGCTACTTTTATTTTAGAAAACTAATGCTAAATTCCACGGAACAGCTAGCATTATATAAGTTATTTAAAATATTCAATTTAATATGAACCGTATTTTAAAATGATATATATATATTTGTAATAAAAAGTATAGTATTATTATATCAAAATATAAAATCCATATATAAATAATCATTATTTAGTCTTAAACTAGACAGTTATTCTTTTAGTAAATAACTGTAGTTTCAGTTTGGACTTACCTACTACGTTTATGTCTATTTTTTTTTAATTATAGTAAGATAGTACCTAATAAAAGAAAACGAAGGAAAAAAATTGTTTCGAAAGTATAGTCTTTATTTATTTCTACTTCTAGCATCTGAAATATGACAGTTCCCTTTTAAACACATATACATCTAAATTTAATTAATATTAGCAATATATTGTCTAATTTTGTAACATAAATTCAGTTTTGAATAATATTTATCAAAATATATTTTTAACAGTGCTTTCTACATTATATTTTTAAACTCGGAGCGTTATAAGCTTAACTGAAATAATTTTAACACAACGAGTTTATTTTCAACAACGGCAATATTTTTTCGTTATACCTTTTTATGGAGTAGGATTTGTTTGTGCTGCAAAGTGTCTTACCTGGCTGGGAGACTGTAACTTCATTAAAAGGAGATTAAAAGAAACTTTTTCATCGCTACAAAAGTGTCCTAAGCCAGCAGAGCGATGGCGACGCTACCTACATCGTTGGGGGTTTATGGCGATACTGGAGTGAAATAATATTCATATTGCTATAAATAAATATTTATGTTCTTTTTTTAAATATCATATTGAAGTGATACAGGAGTTCATATTGCTATAAATAAATATATATGTTCTTTTTTTAAATATCATATTGAAGTGATACAGGAGTTCATATTGCTATTAATAAAGATATATGTTCTTTTTTTAAATATCATATTGAAGTGATAAAGGAGTTCATATTGCTATAAATAAATATTTTTGTTCTTTTTTTAAATATCATATTTAAATATGGAATCACAATACCGTTGTTTATATTCCATTGCATTTGCAACAAATAACTATTTGTATACTTTTTTTAAAATATCACATTTAAATATGGAACGATAATATCGTTATATAATGTTTATATTACAAATGTTCGTCTTTTACTTTTTCAGTTAATTATATATTGTAGGCTTAAAAAATGCTCGTTCGAAGGTAAGTAGACACAATCTATGGAAGTATTGTCAAGACAGAGAGAACAGATTTTGATATAAGAAAAGTAAACTATATATAAATATACAAATGGAGAACTTTGGCGTAACAAAAGGCGTTCTTATAGACCAGTTGTACATCTTATCTACTTATAAAAATGTTTTATATTAATTTATTAAACCATGAATTAAATGTTATTTAAATCAAAATAAACAACATCTCATTATAAAACAACCCCCGTCCACTCTTGTGCCAACTCGTATTTATGATACAATTTATTGCAGTTTTCATAATTTCTTAAGAAATGCATTTTCTAAAGTAAAAGCAATTTTATATATTTAGATTAACTCCTACTGAGAGAGTGATAAAAAAATATAGTTAGTACAGTCAATGCAGATTTTGTACTAATTAAAAGTCCATTTGCAGTGAACTTAGCGCAGTTTTTAACGTTGGATTACTAATTTTATAGAGAATTTTCATTCACCAAATTCTTTATGAATCCATTACGAGTATATCTCTATTATGAGAATATAAATAAAGGATACTAAAAGTATAAATGATGTACTCAAAAAAATTATGCATGTAACTAAGTCACTAATTAAAAACGACATGTTTTTTCCCGGTATGAAATATGAGTTTCTCGTGTTAATTTTTTATAATAAAAGAAAATTTTCACACATTAATAAAAATTAAAATCTACTCACATTTTTAAACTTTTTTACCATTTTTTGATCACATAAATCTTTTAAAAGTTCTAAATGAAATTACAAGACCTGCATGAAATCGTTTGTCGTGGGGACAATTTTGTATAAGTCTCTCTTTACATCTTATTTTTACATATACTAGCTATACCGGCAAACGTTGTTTTGCCATATAAATTAATAACGCTATAAAAAAATAGGGATTTTTGTATGTTGTATCATAAAAAAACAGAAACTAAAAATTTTGACTAAAAAATAAAAAAAAATTTAGGGTGGACTATCCCTAACATTTAGGAGGATGAAAAATAGATGTTGGCCGATTCTCAGACCTACTCAATACGTTCACAAAATTTCATGAGAATCGGTAAAGCCGTTTCGGAGGAGTATGGTAACGAAAACTGTGACACGAGAATTTTATATATAAGATATAGCATACCGCCCATATGTACTCTTGAAACTCAAATGGTGTTTATAATATACTAATTGCTAATGGAGAATGCTATGCTCGGAGTTACTCGTGATCGAATCAGAAATGGGAGATCCGCAGAAGAACCAGAGTGACAGACATAGTCCGAAGAATTGCGAGCCTGAAATGCAATGGGCAGGGCACATAGCTCATAGCTAATAGAGTCCTCGAGTGGCGACCACGGACCGTAAGACGCAACGTGGGAAAGCCTCCAGCAAGGTGGATCGACGATCTGGTTAAGATCGCTGGAAGGCATTGGTTGCGAGCAGCGCAGAACCGATCATCGTGGTGATGTTTGGGGGAGGCCTATGTCTAGCAGTGGACGTCTTCCGGGCTGCGATTATGAATTACTAAAAATACAAAAACATAATAAAAAAATACATAAGAATATACCATACAGCGAATCTATAACAAAATACA